TTGGAATGGATCCTTAAATTTTAGTATACAGTCAGCCTTATTCACACACTGTATAATATGAAAAAAAATTACTTTTAAAACTATATAGTGATTACAGGTAGCTGGGTGTTTCCAAGTACTATTAAGTAAAAGCATGTACACACCTTTCTGAACACACACGGCTGTATCTGTTTGGTGCTTTCCTTATTCATACTCTGTACAGCCACAATGGACCTGCTGGAATAAATCAGGGGGTTTTGACAAGCGCTATGATGAGAACATTGTTCTCAACTGGAGGTATTGCAGATTTGAGTCTCACACTGGACATAAACTAACACCACAGGGTATGAAGTGTAAAATCATTACTCTCTTTTTATCTAGTATATGAAAAACAGGCATATGTGAAAACTACAAGCTGGAACGAGCAACCTACGGTGATGTTCATGTAAGTCTCACCTGTATAACACCAACATCTCTGCACTGCTCTTCCTACTCATTTCTGACTTGGTGCAAAGGTATTTATTATGCCCCCTAGGTGCTTTTCACCCAATCTAGCCCCTTGTTAGAAAGTACGCTGTTGCGGAGTTCACTCGTGCAGAGTTCTGGATTGCTGTCAATTATGTATTTCTTTTTCCTCAACATAAAGAGGTTTTAGTACTAAACTGGCTGGGTGGATATTCAAATTGAGCTGTGGGAAAATGCAACAGAGTGAGACTATTTAAATGACACTGTGAGAACTTCCTCGCTGATATGCCTGAATGTGAAATTGGTGGAACTATTGTATGTGTTGGGGTGAAAGGGTAATTTAGTTTTCATGGTCAGAAAACCATGATCTATGAGTAGAAGACTTGTGGTGGTATTTTTATAATAAGCACACCACACACTGGCACGAAACTGAAATGTTGCCAGCTTTAAATGATAAATTAGAATTAAATGAAAGCTCACCACTCCTTGATATCCTTTATCATACGGAGCACTGTGCGCCCAGCCCAGGGAAAAAATGCCTAAATGTGAGTGAAGAAATACATCAAGAGAGCAGCGCTGCTCAGGTACTTGAAGTTATGCAACTGCTGCACTAGTCTCAACAGCACTGAAGGCTTATTTTCTGAGGATTGTTTTCCCTTCAAGGTAAACAGCCAGCTAAATTTTAACTTGGTTATAGTTATCCACGCAGTCACCTCTTACTGCATGTTTCTCTCTGAGCTTGAGAAGCTACAGTACCATTCTGCATGCAAATAACATCAATCTAATTAATTAATAGCATTCATTGGAAAAAAATCTCATGAATTTTAGAACAAAAAACACCTAAAATAATTTTTTTTTCCCTTTTCAACTTCCAACAGAGAAAAGAGAACTAAATTAAAACCAAACCCTCTACTCAAGTCAGGTCACCATGACACAAAGCAGTACAACCCAATAAATCCAGCAACGCTGACAGTCCAGCCTGGCAGGATGTACACAGCCTCTTGAGCCATGGAAAGCTGGGAGGGCTTTGGATGTTAGCTCTGTGGCTGCAAGCTGGCTTAGAGGAAGGAAAGAAAGGTCAGCGTGCCACAAACGGCATGTAAGGCAAGACGCACGTACGTGGAGTTGCACTGCTGCATGGCTGGTATACAGCTCCCTCCTGCTTTGGCGATAAACTAACCTCAAGCTTGTGTAGGCAGGAGAGTGTAAGATATCAGTGTTCATGCTACTGGTATGTCACCGACAACATTTGGGTTTAAGTAGAAATGCAGGAAAGCAGCTGACTTTCCCAATAAGAGAAGTGTTACTGTACTTCAAAAGAAAAACCAACCAACCAAAAAGCTCCTAAGCTACTAATGAAGCATTGACTGGTCAGAAAATGCAAACCGAACTCTCAGCTTCTCTACTGTAGATATTACCCAAGAAAACCTAACTGCAGTGCAAGCTGGTGTTCAAAACTACCTAAGCTCCAGTTTATTATGCACACATACAACCAGACCATTCTGAAGTGCAGTGAGATCGGTTTAATTTCTCAGGGTACATGAACGAGGTGCTAAGGAAGCCACATTCCCCTTTCCCTGAAGGCTGGTCAGTACTGCTGATCCAGCTGAGCTCTTTGCAAACATGAGCCAAGCATTTGACCTTTTGTGTTTCTTTTGAGCGCAGGAGGTACAGCTGTGAACAACTTGTGAACGAGTAGAACAGCTCTCTGGGGCTGGAGGCCTCCTCTTCTCTGCCCTGCATTGTCACAGCTCTCCAAACACAGCTGGGCTGCCACTGCCAGGCACTTCAAATTCCGCAAGTCTTCAGAAACTATAAATGCAATGACTCGACAAAGCTGAGTAACGACAGCAGAGCTCAAAGGAAACTGTTCACTTCATGGGCTGGTTTGTTTGCTTCACTGAAGTGATAGCAGAAGGCAGTGCTGAAAACTTTGGGTCAAAAATACCTAAACCGCACAGAACAGGAAAGGCTTGGCCTCGGGTGTGGGACTGCATTACTTAGTGTAAGATAAACTTGTAGTGATAGCTCAGACAAAAAGTTATGTCTGCAATCTGAAGAAGATAGAAAGCTTTCTAATTAGTACAACAGGTCTCTTACCTTTCAGATGTCGTCAGGCACATCATAAATGTGAGAAAACAAAAAAGTACATCTACCAAAACCTCTGGATTCCTAGTGTGCAAAATGCAACATCAAGAAGGTCCAGAACTGTTATGCCTTGGTCAGTATATTGAGAAGCACTACAAGATGTTTTATATGGATCTATTTGTAAAGCTCAGGACAAAAAACACCTTACTCTTCAAACAAATATTAATGCAGAGAAATACAAGCAACTGCAAAGCCTCATACTCTCTGACAGAAAAAACCTAGTTTGCTGATGGCTCTTTGGACATTGCTGCAGTGATAAAAAGGCACAGTACCTGCAAAGAGCGAAGGAGGGAAGCAATCTTGAGTTTCAATCAGTGTTCATGGTGTCCGTGTAATCCAGAGCAAATGATGATGAAGAGACTAAAGGCAATTTTATAAACTGGGCTTAAAGCTGGAAGTTCTCAAATTAAAACAGTGGGATTTTTTTAATTTCATACTGCAGCCACATTTAGCCAAATGCGTTCTAACTTATGTAGTGCATTTATCATGACCATAAGGTTCTGGGAATTTTTACTGTTAGAGAACTTTAAGAAATACAAATAAAAAAATGTTTTTAACCTTTGTTATCTATTCCCCAAAGGCGTCTTTTCTTCCTTTTTGATTATGCCTTTGAGACAAATACAGAGCACTTCAAACTAATCTGCTGTATTTACGGGACATGGTGACATGGCAGCCACTTGGAACAAATTTCAGGGATTGAATAAAAGGCAGATGGAGGCTGGTCCAGGGCAAACACGCTGCCTACTCTGTTTTGTAATTTCACAGTTAGGGTGTTGAAGAATAATATTTAGTGTGGGAAGTTTCTGTTACCAGCTGTTAAACAGTGACACAGTTTATTCAATAGTAAATTATGTGGCAATGCTTAAATTCACTAAGAATGCAAGAAAATATTGTTGCTACACAAAAGTGGAATAGTTGAAATGGACACTAAGCTCCACAATTACTGAATCTAAATACAGAGAAAAATAAAGAAAACAAAACTTCAAGATGTGGAAATAAAGATTTTTGTGTTATTTATTAAAACAATTGTTTTAAGGATCACAGTTAGAAGTCAGATTTTACTGAATATGAAATAAATTGTTTGTCTTTGGGCAGTTAGCAATGATGAACCTAGTCACCTAACACAAAATTATGCTTATACCACTTTATCCAGGGCCACATCTTCACACCAACTCCAGTGGGTTTTGTACTATTATGTGGGAATCTCAGAAACATTTTTATCCCCAGTTGTAATGTAGCTTCTTCCTCATTGGCTTTAGGAAAGAACAAACATTAAGGATACCTTTAGATATACCTTTAGTTGTAACTTGTACACATTTTTTTTAAAGAACAGAACATAACTTTTATGGACAAGCAACATCACTCACGCTTTTAATGAGGAGCACCCTGATTTGATCTTATGTCCCATGGGACTTCGTTCAGGTGACAAGGATACTACTTCTATGAAGATGAACCTACACATCATCAACATTATGCTATCACACGATGGATGCATCCAACATGGAATGGAGAAGATCAAAACCGTATGGCCGGCAAATACTCAACTAAGACTTGCCATTTCACACATAAACTAAACCACAGGAAATTCTACCTGAACATGAGGAAGAAATTCTTCACTGTGAGGGTGACTGAGCAGTGGAATAGCCTGCCCAGAGAGGTTGTGTAGTCTCCTTCCTAAGAGATATTCCACACCTGTGTGGACACAATACTCAGCAATGTGCTGTAGGCAAACCTGCTTTAGCAGAGAGGTCAGACTAGATGACTCCCAGTGGTCCCTTCCAACCTCAACCCTTCTGTGATTCTGTGATTTCCTGAATTGTTGGAGAATTTGAGTATAATTTTTATTAACTAGTAAAATCTGTTGTATTTTAATAGATTCATAAATTCTTGTGCTTTATCTGTTTCTCTGGTTTTTGAATATATACACAATTTACTGTCTTAAATGCATGAGCTGCTTTATATCCACATCAAAGGAACAAACATTACCACATTTTTTCAGTCAAATATTATTTTCGTGGTAAAACATTACATTCTTAATATATAAAGCTAATATAGTCTAATTCCTCTTTTAGAGTTACCCCAATTATAGTGGCATGCCTTTAAAATATAAAATATGCAGCTCCACTAAATAGCACTCAAATGAGCCTGATGTGTATCAAAATGTCATCTTTTCAATTTCTTTTTTGCACTTAATCTCACTATAATTTGATGTTAATAGCTGTTTGAGTATTCATCATTGGAATTCAAAACATTAAGATTATTAAGAGTTGTAGTTAGTGAAAACATCTCTACTTAAAGCTTCTGAAATACAGAATTTTGAAGTTGATGAATTTAGGATTACAGCCAAGTGATTAAGCTTCAGTAAATGCTAAACTTTTAAGGAAAATAACACAAACCAAAGCTTACTTCTGTTGTAATATACACTGAAATTTTACTAAGCTTTCCTATTTTTGAAGGAGAGCAACACTGAACAGTGCAGCAAACAGCATACTGAACTCAGCATTTCAACGCAGTATGAGCACAGACAAGAATATGAATGTATACTTTGTGCCTAACACTAGTTACTCATGAGGGTGAGCAACATCTATGTAATCCCGGACAGCTGACTGAAAAGATATTTCTGTGAGGCAGATTAATTAATAACAAGTGAAATATCTGTGAGAAAATGTGGGCAATATTTATTTTAATTCCTCCAAAATCTTGTATTATACACATGCCCACGTGCAGCCATGCACACAGTGTGTTAAAGTAAAAACCTTACACCATGTCATATCATAAATTTGAGAGCATGTAGTATGTAACAAAAACGTTTAAGGTAACTGTTCTTAGAAATCTGACAACTCTATTCATTGACACTCTTATGCATATCTTAAAAGCAACTTAGCCAAGTTTACAAAACATTTCTTACGACTGTTGTGATTTTTGCAGTTAAGGAATCAGGAACGCACAATATGTACATCAAGCTTAAACGGCTTGTGTATGTTACAAGTATAAAGCAGTAGGCAGAGTAAGTATGACAAATACACTGAAGTCTTGACATTGCAAAATCTTGACCAAAATAAACAAAACAAAAAAATGACCCAGAAATCATCTCTATGATAAGAGAAAAGACATTTCACTTTTTGTGAAAGAGAAGAGGTTTCACCATCCCTGCCAGAATCTTGGGTAGCTGGGCAGCAATCACCTCTGACATCATCTCAGGGAATTCAACACTCAGTGCACGGGACTGGAGAAATGTGTTCAGACAGAAGAGATGGAGCTGTTTCACTAGCTGGATTTAACAAAATACAAACATGATAAATCAAGATAACAGTAATCAGTCATAAGCATGCTGCAAATCACCTATCCCATACATCCATTGGCTGACATCTTTATATACCTTCCTCTGTCATTCCCTGAATCAATAATGAGGTTGCTTGTCATTCCCCATTAAAATATCCTCCCATGGCAAAAATCATAAACTAAACATAGCCACATGTCACATAAAAACAGTGCCTTACTGATATTACACAGTATCATCCTCACTTATGACATGCACCATGAACAACGGCAATTACTAAGCCAATATTCAAACTTTCATTTTATTCTCACATCTTAATGCCTTGATCACTGTATGCTATCCAAACACTGCTCTGAGGGACAGCATTTACTGTTTGCCTGCAAGCTTTTCCATGGTTCTGATTATGATCATATCTGGGTACACCACAAACATTAAACACCATAGGCCCTCATCCCCTGAAAGCAACTATGACTGTTTTACCTCTTCTACCTTCTCTCGGAAGTTCCAGTCTTGCAGCAGTTTACACTGTGAAATACCATACTATTTCTCCTACCTTAGACTTTAACAACACAGTCTCTCCAATGTGATGATCTTGTGTCTCCCATCACTTTATCAGCCTAAAATAGGCATTTGAATGAAGGTACTTTATAGACCAAACATTACCCTCCCCATCACCTTGCTGGATATTTTGCAGCAAGCCTCACTCACAACCACTAAGACTATCTTACTTTAAGCATTTGAAATAAAGAGATTGACTCTACAGCCAAAGAGGAAATCTCAGAGTTTTCCTCTGGATGCTATGACTCTCAGATTGCAAGTTATTACTCCAGGTAAAGCAGGAAGCCCTTTCATGCTACGCAAGACTGATCCAAACTATTGCTTGAGCAGAGGGCTACTATGAGTAGTATTCTGGCCAGGACTTGTTATTGCCAGACTGTGTTTTCCTACATTGTTAGAGAATTTGAGTATCATTTTTAGTGACTGGCAAAATTTGTTATATTCATATAGATTCATAAATTCTTGTGCTTTATCTGTTTCACTGTTGTTTATATCAACATTATAAAGCTAATCCAGTGAAAGGTTTAGCTCTGACAGTCCCAGGTGACAACTGCAGTCTGACTACCAGTAAATACTTAAAGTTAAGCTCCATGTCCTGCCTTCAGAATTCTCTACCTTAACCTGAAAGGACGTTTTTTGTACTTGTCTCATTCTCCTTTTGCTGGTATCTGAGACAATGCAATAGCTAATAGTGAATGTGAGTTCTGTAGATAGCAAAGTCTTCTGGAGAGGTTTGTGCAGTGGACTAAAAGACTCCAGATCACCTGGTGAGCCACAAAATTATCAATATTGTTACCTCTCAACTCTGATAAACGGGATTCTCAAAGGATGTATTTTTTTCCCCCATCAGAAAGAGGAATTAGTTACAATTAAAGGTTTTTAGATGAATAAATGTGTTTATTCATGAACAATTAAAATAAAATGCAGATCTGCAGGTGAAGAACACGAACATGCAAAGACCCACCCTTCCCTGAACTTCCTGTGAGCATCTCGCCATCAACACCAAACTCAAAAGCATTCTTCCTAAACTATTTTAGTGCTACTTCTCCAGTGCTTGCTAAAAACATCAGCTATTGTCCTCTTTTTGCCTGCTTTCTGCCTCTCTTGCAGAGATAAAGAAGCCAATACAAAACAATATTCACATGAGCAGAAGTTATAAAAATATGTCATGCCTCAGTTTTAGTGGATGCTAAGCCAATAATATATATGATGAATTCTCAGAGGTATGGAAAGGATTCAGATGCATCTCTTAAGGTAGATTAATCTCTGGTATTACTACTAGAGATCTCAAAGATGACTCAGTTCCCAAATGCAGACAGAAACTGAAAAAATGGCATAGAATATATTCAGAAAAGTAGTTGAATTAAGGTTGCAAAACTTGATTGTCTTTCTCTAATTCTTAGTACCCTGACTTTGCAACTTGAATTGCCTTCTCTTTGCAGTAAATATTTTCATGAACAGGTATAAACACACACACATGCTGTCCCTTAAAACCTGAAACTATACTAGCTACATTACAGAAATAATGAAACAAAATGGTAGCATTCAGTACATATTTCTCAATCTTGTCATTTTTCTTAAATCATATTTCTTAAATCTTGTCTACCATATAATACATACACAATATATATCCATGACAAATATACAGCCATCTATACATGCAAATATACACACTAAATAAAAAAAGTACAGGTTTTCTTTTGTTGTTTAGAGATACTGACTAGCCACTTTCCATAAAATTCCATGTAAGAAATACTAGTTCCTCACATAAAAAGCAAACCACTTTAACAAGTAAACTTACATCATGCATGGAATCCATCAGTTTTGTAAGTTGATAGAAACGCTGCGAGTTGGCCACAACGCCTTTCTGGCGCAAACCAATTGCTTTCACCAGTTCTCTAATATAACTTGTTCTCATCTCATCAAATTGGCTTTGGCTTCTTAGACCTTCCAAAGGAACTAAAAAGAAAGTAACACTTCTGTTGCAATTTATTCTGAAGGCAATAGGAGAAATTTAAAGTACAGAACAATTTCTAGTATTTCAGACTGTGTAGTGCAATTCATTATTATACTTCAGGTCCTTCCTGTTGTTCAAAGGTTACTCCAGAAGCAGTGACAGAGTTAGTGTCCTGGGATATACCAGCAACAATCAGACAATTCTGCTAATTGTTCATGTCTAGAAATAGCCATAAGCTTCTGCAGACACCTGTCTGCTTGTCCTGGTTTTGACTGTGATAGAATTAATTCTCTTCCTAACAGGTAGCACAGGGGTTAAACCTGTACAGTGGATAAACCCCTAGTAGCTGGGGTTAAACCACAACACTGCTGAAGATGGCTCAAAGAACCACTCCCATACTTGAGTAATGCTGTTATGAACTGGCTTATGTTTACACTGATGAGGGTCCATGTCTCTTCATTGCAGATTTACATTAGAGAGATCTAGATGGAGCCGGGACTTCAAAATGGAGTCAAGAAATGAACTAACAACTATTAAGTAGTGTAGACAGTAAAGCATCCAGTGTTCAGGCCTTCTGTTTGGACCTCTTAATAGGATAGACTGCACTATTGGAGTGTTACATGTGAGAAACTTTTAAAAGAGATTAGCAAGGAGGAGTAAATGGAGTAACTCACTCTTCTTTTAAAGGTGAGCCATAAGGACCAAAATAATGATATGGAGAAAACATTGAGAAATAAACCTGTTAATGGCTGTGATAAGATTATATCTGACTGCTGACAGTATGTGCTGGTAGCATTGTAAGGAAACAGTGCAAACTAGTCTTTCCCTTCCTGGCATGGTGATGTGTAATACACAAGTCTTATAATTTATGTTGTCAGAGTCAGTTAAGAAATTTAAAACTTTAAGAAATTAAACTCTAAAAATTATTTCCATCTGGCAATCAAATGTAAATCCTTGCTTCACTCTACTAACCCTACATGGAATGTTCACTGTTTTGGAAGTATCCTTAAAAAGAAATGTAGAGATGCTTATTTTTCTCCATGGACTCCAAAAGAATGTCATGGGGACTAGCTCAGCTAAATAAATCATCTGATAGTTATCTAGGTATCTAGAACATTTCAAACTGGTATCAGACCATGACTAATATAGGGCCACAACAGACTTCAAAGGAAAAAAAATAAAAAACTTAAAAATTGGTCCATAACCAGATAGCAAATCCCGCACTGTGAGCAACACTGCTCTCCATTCAGGAATCACAGACCCTGTTCTGAAATCAGCTGCCTAAGTCATGTCTGGTTCCTCAGAAAAACATAAGGGGAAAAGAGACACTTCAGGCAAACATTAAAAGTCCATCACCCCAAGCCCAGAGAGAACTGTCAAGGCAGAAGTTCATGTCTCTGTTCTACCTGAGTTCAGAAGTCTCCTGTTTTGGAGGAGACTGCCCAAGAGAGGAACTGATCCCGCTCGTTTGCCAAGATTGTCTCTTGCTCGGTGTCTCCTCTGACAGCTGGGTGTCCGGGGGAACGAGAGAGACACACATACAGAAAATAGCAGGTTTACTTTAAAGGTAAGTGTCTAAGCATCAAACTGGGCTACGGAAGTCAGGGCCTGACTGCTAACTAAAACAAAAATAGAACATAGAAATTGTGACTGCTTCTACAGAAGGTACATTTATAACACTACACCTAAGAACAGTCCAGTTTTTAGGAATGCCATGTTAGGTTTTTTCCAGTGGCTGACGGAGATAAAATGCTGGATGAGGTGAGATTTTGGTTGGACTCAGTATGGCCTCTCAAGTCCAGATAGACAAAGGAGGTATCTGAAAGTGTGGCTGTCACATCTACATCACGGGTCTGAATGGAAGGCACAAGTTCTGTTTTGTAGAGAATACAATGTGCTGAGGAATAATACAGGCAGGAATACTCATGGTAGGGGAATGCTGAGTCATGGAAAAAGAATAGCTTGATTTTCAAAGCCAGGGTGGTTCAGGGTATGTCTTAACAGCACATTTACAGACATCTAGGAAACCTTTTTCGTATCAACTGACATTCTGATGGAATTTAGGGTTAGGTGGACGATATACTTGACTTTTATCTATAAACCAGCAATTTAGTCCTTCCATTTCCCTTGTGAATTGAGTTAAAAGATTTATTCCAGCAGTGAATAGCCCATTTCCCTAGAATTCTGCAAAAGCATGGTCACATTCTTGTCTAATCACAAGAAGTTCCACTGAGCTACTTATTTGAGTGAAGAATTACAATGTGTTACATGAACAAACGCAACTTAAGCACAGGTAGCTCAAATGTTCCTTCTCTCTGAACATATGTAAAGAATGCGGATGCTTTTATTCAGTAGCAAGAACACAGCCAAAATCTTATGCAACAAGATTTTGCAATTCCTCTAAATCAAAGTCAGGAAAGTGTTTGAGCTAGAACTGAACTTGCTATATGCTTATTTCTCTCTTCTTGGTATAGGTCTACTTTCTTAAATCAAGGCATTTCTGAACTATTCATAGTACTACTTCCCAATTGCACATGGCCTCTACAAAACAGAGCCCTGTTTAGAACATATGAGGCACTGCTACAACACAGCATGTTGCATATAGCAAACAAGGACCCGTAAAATGGGAACAACTGCACAACATAAAAATGTTGGTCCACTTTTGAAAAGACTAATTCTGCTTTCAAGACATCTTTAAAACTTGTCACAAATACAATACATAGAATACACCTAAGTCACAGCAAACTCAATGGAAAAACTTGTAAAATCAAAAATAACGTTAAAACGTAGGCTGGGGGGCATTCAGAATTAGAAATGTATTGAAACTGACATTCTGTTGTGTTTAATGCAAATTACTGCTTCTTCAAAATGACAGAAAAAGTAAAAAAGAGTTCATCTAAAGAATAAATCAAACAGAAGACAGAATGAGAAACTAAAAGTTCAGACTTGATTTACTGTTAGTATATGAAAGCTTGAAATGGCCATACTTTCACATTTGAAGAGGATTAAAATGAACACCATGACTGAAATAAAAGTAGTTTTAAAAAACACTTCAGAGCAACAATGAGATTATATGTTTTTTGAGAAGAGTTTTGTGGAATTATATTTATACAGTACCAAACGTCTACTAAATGTCTCAGCAACAACGGTTAGGTGTGTTCCTTTTCCCAAAGATCTGACAAACTGTTTTTTCCTACAAGACAATAAGTGCAGGAGAGAACAAAAAGCAAAGCTCATCAGCACAGGTAGAAATATTTTATTTTTTTTTCCTTTATAACTAATTTCTTGCATATATATAAACAAATCATCCTAAAAATGAATTTCTGAGTGCAACGCAATTAATAAAAAATGGTAGTTTGACAATACTGTTAAACTGATGTACACATATATGACAGGGATTGGACCATTGTAATGTTTCTTTAACTTGCTTTGAACCTTCTGGGACAGAAATGGGTGGCTAGAACATAACAAATGGATCTAAATTTCACTGGAGTTTAAAACTTCCCTCTAAGATTCAAATGATAGGCAAGGGAGTTCATTTGTGATGAAAATAAGATGAAAAACATTTAAACTAAGAATGCATTCAGAATTCAACAAAGCAACTGGATTTATAGCAGGGATGGATTTTTGTCCACATTATTTGTATCGCTTTAGCAGAGTATATGGTATTTTGCTGTTATTTTAGTATTTTTAATGTTCATGTGAGCTAAATTTAATCTTTACTGCTTATGCCCTGTTGAGACAAGTGTTGTTTTAGCATGCAGCCAAGGACAGCTTAAGGGGGAACAAATTTTACTTAGCAAGCATGCTATGCAGGATTTGCACAGCTCTCCTCTGACTCCATAGGTGTGTAGAGAACCAAACTTCAATGTTTTTCAAATTGTATTTCTCAGAGGTGCTTATTCTCATTTCTAGTAGCACCTGCACCGTTTTAAAACTTTCCATTTGGAGATTCATAATTTTTAACAATTACGGCCTCAGCAGATGTACACGTTAGTATTTTAGAGAAGGTTGGAAGATACCTTCATCAAATACCACATTCCCCATTTAAAGTGGAATGCAGCAGTATGCCGGATGCTTTAAAAAATGTGTATGATTGAAAGTTACCACGGCTTTTGTTCTGAAGAAACAAACCAAAGAAAAAAATTTCCATAGGTTTCTGTTTGTGCTAAGCTTAACCTATTTATAACTACAAGAGGTTGAATACATGTTAATATTGTTTGCCATGTCCATCTCCCTAATTCTTTTGAAAAAGTATGCTTTAAGTTCTTGGCCAAGATAAAGCCCTGAGTCCTGACAAATTATTAAGTATTTTTCAATGTATTTCTAATGCTTGTAAGGTTTTATTTTTTTTAATCTGTATAAAGTCATTTCAGCTGAAGAGCTTCCAGGCAAAAATTCTGCACTCTTGATTTGAAAATGAAAACCAAGAATGAATCACAAATTATTTGTTCCTTATAAACACTAGAAAAAATATTAGTGGGCCTTGGAATACCAACATTCCTCCTAAAGAAGTTTTAATTGGTTAAGCCAGACAGCTTAGCAATTGTCAAGTTAAACAACATGGTTTAATACTCTTCCTAGTGAAAAAAAAAAAGAAATCAAAGAACCTACTTGTGTTGAGAAGTAAGAGCGCTTTCATACACAGAAACTCTTCTTGGCTAACTTGAAGTCTGACAAATTCCTGTGGGAGTTGCCACATGGATAGGCACAGGGAATAGAACGATGATTCTTTCATCCTCTGTCTTACCCAGAAAAGGTAAAAAGAAATAAAAAAAACACCAAACAAAAAACCACAACATGAAAATAAGGAACAGCTCCAGTACTGCTTATCTGAAGAAAGTACCTTGTTAGCAGTTTAATTACCACATTACAAAAATTGAAGAGAAAGTTTATACACATGAATATTCTGACATTTTTGTACCTACAACCAACAGCTGGTTTTTAATTGTAATGAATGTGCTATTATTTTGAATGTTTAATTATTTGGATCTTACTGCTGCCCAGAAAAACAAAACAAAATAAAACCTTAGAGATTATGAAGGCTGAATGGTAACTACCAAAAAAGGGGGTTTATTAATTAAAACCACCCTAATGATTAATAATTTCTTTTAGACATTGATAGAGTTTCATATTCTCTGAAAAGATTTCAAAGCATGAAATCAAAGACAAACCTAAAAGTTTACAGAAAACTTCTTAGGTTTTGCAAAAATGTCTGCATCAAAATATTTTATTGCAAGTCTAACACTGTACTGCTAACAGCAATGATATTATTTTGTAATGACTTATGTCATTAAAGACACAGTTACAAATGTTACATGTAAATATATACCAAAGGCTTTTAGGTAAACTTAGACATTACTACAGCCTTATCTAAACTAAAAAGTGAACAGAATAAACTTCACAAGGAAATACATAAAATTGTTTATAGTTTTTTGCAGCACTTCAGTCTTACTTTTCAAGATGTTGGTATAGTGAGTATATTTTATTGCATGCATTTATTGGGAAGGCAGTTTTCGACTGAAATGACTGCCACAATTGCATTACAAAGTTTGTAATCTGAACTGAATTCATTGTACATTAACCAGAAGATCCAATAACTTGGGCTAATGTTACAAAGTCACATCTCAACCCAGATGAATTAGGTACGACAAGAAGATTAAATTTCCCCATCAACACCCTACAAGCTTATACAGCATTCCAGACTGACTGCATATAATACCTTCAACAATGAAAAGAGAAGATATTTTCCATAAATAAAAGGCTTTTTTCAATGCACTGAGGTATTTTTCTTGTTATTTGAAGTGTTACTGTTATCATAAAAGAAAATTATTTCAGTTTTGTTCAACATCTGATATCTTGTACAAGCCCTTAAATGGCTTTGACATAGAAATTTAACCTGTTAGATCTGAATGGACTGGTTATTTCTACATCTACTTTAAATCTCCCTTCCTATTCCTTTCTGGTAGTCTCTATTCCTAATTATTATCTATGAACAGTGATAGCAGTTTTCAGGTTATGTTTAAATGCTGTTCTTAGTCATGTTTTGAGACACTGCAAAGTGTAAGTAACAGCAAATCTTTCTAAGAGTTGAAAACCTTTGTCAAACTAACACTCCTGCCTTTCCTCTTCCAAAATCAATGCTATCAAACATGTCGTTCCCAAGGAGCATGACAACTCAGTTTGCTAAATGACAGACTGCCTGTGAAACAAGCTTTGGATTGTGGTTTCACGGTCATTTTGAAACAACTCGTGTGTGCTGCCCATGTGTAAGTATTTTCCATTATCTCCTTCCACCTCTAGGTGTGCACTCCCCCTATTCCGGCATTAGTGCCTGCGCTCCTATGTGGTGAGTCAGACCAGGGATCACCTCTGCCTTTTTCTGAGGTATTTCTCAAGCATATAATTTCCTTATCTGTTGGAAAATGCAGCAAGATAGTGTTTGACCCATCTTAAGTGAAATCATGGGGATGCAGTGCTTAGTAGGTACCTTTTTGCCTAAAGTGATCGTGAAAGTACAATCTTAGACATCATTGTAGACAAGGAATTTCCTTACATTTTACTTATCTAAAAGCTAACTTATTCCCCAATAAATAGTTGCAGCTATGATTTAGTGCTCTGGTTACTTTTCACATCTAACTAACGTTTCTAGGATGACTCTGATGACATGTTCTACAACCAAAAGAAGTGTATGTACGTTGTCAGTACGTCTCCTCCATGTAGATGGACTTGAGCTACAAATAAGAAGCTGTCTCTGAATATAATCAAGAGTTCATAAATCTAAACCCTATACTGAAAGAAAGTTGTCTTCACAAGATGGCAGCAGTGGTCCACACACAGGGAAACACCCCAAGATGTGACATTGCTGCCTAAGGCCATCTGACTTTGTGTTTCTTTTGAATGCAACCATGAGATACATCACAGACTATGCTGGGACAGAATACAGTCAGAAATTTTCTCAATCTCATCCCTTCAAAGTATTTCAATTTGTACAGCAAATACACATGGGAGACGAAAGAATTCATTACACTATAACTTCACAGTGATTTACAGTCATCTGGAAGAGACAAGGTCAGGAGCTACATGGCCTGCTCAACCATGTATTTTCTATGAAGAAGTTCACTGACAAGAACTTTCCTATCTATACATTTTAAATTCAGATACCTAGGTCTTCTGCAAATCCACCTCTTAATCCTTAAACAGGTATGTCTTGCAAGAAAACTGTTTAACTTTCACCTCACTTCATAGTAGTTCTTTTAGGATTTTAAGAAAAAATAACTAAAAAGAGTATTAAGGAAAAATAAACAGAGATTAAATAATGTTTTACAGTCCACAGAAAACTCCCATGTAGTATAAAAACTGTATCTACCTATGTATCTTTTCTGAAAAACTGACAAACTGTGATGAAGATTATCAGAATTAATCAGCATAGTGAAGAAAAATCTAAGTCAACAATCTCCCCTCGAGACAGAAAAGCGCAGTCTCACATATTTTATCCTTGATGTTAAAATTCCTTCTTGCTAAATCATTACAATTTTCTAACAAGACACGGCCTTCAGAAAATCAGAGCTTCAACAGAAAGTGCCAAAACTATACATGAACTATTTGCAAAAAAAAAAAAACTCAAACAATGATCAAAGGAAATCCCATTCTTAAACATCAATTCATGTCTTATTCAGATGAATGCAAGTAAATCTTCCAACAGCATCATTTTTTATAGATTTTTCTCTTAGGTAACTAAAATATTATTCAAACTTTTTGTTTGGTCATGCCAGCAGAATGTTTGGGATTCCCACAAAATGCTTCCCAAAGTTACTGTACTTTAATATGATCAGAGCGCTTTGCTGTCAATTCTGAAACAGAAAAAAGTAATGAATGAAATCCTGGCCCCAAAGAAGTCACATTCTCACTGACAGAACTAAGCTCAAAATTTCGTTCATATCATGCAAGAGCAGTGTCTACTTACTCATTTAGAATCAGATCTGGTGCAAAATATAACATCTGACCACTGACATGTTTGTATGATCTCCATCCCATTGCAAAAACCATTAGACTCATCCATGAGTACTGGATGAGGGTTATCTGATCATCGATATGTAAATTCCGAAATCCTGGAAATTAAATGAAAAGTTAAAATAGTTCATAATTTTTATTTAGACAACAGCTGAGTAGGTGTGCTGAGACTGCATTTCGAGCATTTGCCTTTCCAGGTGTTCTCAGTTTTATAGCTCGAAGTTCAACCAAGAGGCCTGACAAGCAGAAGCTGCAATGGTGAGGAGCAGTGACAGGGACTATCCTTTCCTGCAGCAGCAAAGTGACACACTGAGCTCACCTAAAGTTATGCTTTCTAGTCTTTCTGCTTGATATAGTTATATTTATATACCACATAGGATCAGGCCCCTATGACCATACAGCAAGCATACATACATACCGTGATTTATTTTTTTTTGAATCCACAATTGGATCTTCATATATTCAGTTACTTCTCATTACCAGTCTATTTGTGAGCTGCTTAGTCTGAATTGGTACTATTTATTACAGCTTTCCTCTGTTGCTTTCAAAAATCCATTTTAATAAGAATAAAGAATATGCAGAAATATAAGCATTTTTTTACACAAAAAGAACTAATAACAGATTAGGAGGGGTTGAGGTGGAAAAGCTGCTCTAACAATCACATAGCAGAATTCTCCAGGCTTCTACTGATTTTTGGAGTGAGTTTCAATGGTAAGATGCATTCCTTCAAAAGTGCCCTCTTATTAAAATGAATTTGATCAGATATATGATTAAGCAGAAGTTTGATCATTTTAGAACTTTTTAAGAATTAATTAACAGGCAAACAATAACAACCTCTTTTGACCGCTCATCCTAGGACATATTTGCTTAACTAGAATTCACTACATATAAGAAGTGCTATTACCTGGTAGCAATTTAGACCATTTGACCACACAAAGAAGTTGCCTCTCACAAAGATGATTTAGACTGGTCAGCAAGGAACTTGGTGTTTCGGGTTTTGTATTGTCATAACCTGCATAGACAACTTCTGGCTCAATGCCTCTTAAGACACTTATCATTGGGGGCACAAACTGTATTTCTTGATTTGGAGAAAAGGACAGCTTTTGGGTAAGAGACTGGCTTTCATCTTGAAGGGTCGCTGGCTGCTGGAGTGCAGCATCTAATGTTCTCACAACCTTGATTTTGTTAAACTTTTTAAATTTTCGACCTGAAAGAGAAAATTGTTGAACTGTTAAAAAGAATTAACCATAAACACTAATATTCTCCAGTAGTCCTGGATTGCACTTTTAATCTATACAAGGAAACTAGAACTGTCTTTGGAGTAAGCTTGTTATTTCTTTTTCTATTTATATAATTAAGAATAACCATGGAAAAAAAAAGCTCCTACTTCCACATCCTCCTCCCTTCACTAAGAGATGAACAGAACCCACCCATTAAAATTATTGCCATGAATTCCAGGTTACAGTAACCTCATAAAGTGTTTTCTGGTTCAGTTCCCACTGTTCTGTCATGTCCTGACAGCAGAGCCAGCTGGCTCTACAACTCAGCTTCTATTCAGTGTAACTTAAGGATCCTGTTTCTTTTTTCTCCCTAATACTCAGGAACAAAAAATGCTAGTAATTCATTACTACAAACAGAAATTCCTTTCCTCCAGTTCCATAAAGGCGTTTCAGTCTCATGGCTAAATTCTGTTTTGACGATCTGTAGGGTAATATATGCCTCCTGTTTTCCAGAAAGAAAATACAATTCAAGGGATGAGTGAAATGCCAACAAATACTGTAAAACCACATACCAACACTTAAAAAAACTCTTCACTTTCTGAAGAACAATTTCTCTGTCTCAGTATCTGTAATTCCTGTTTTCATATTGCAGCGGTTTGAAGAAAACTAAAGTAACAGAACTGCCTTTCCAAAATAAACACAGATACTACATCTGGTATGGCTATGGAAATATACAGAGCTCTAGGTTGCAACTCTGAATTTCTTTCATGGAAACAGCCTCGCAGTAAATCATACAGACACAGAAAATCAGAACTTTAGGGGTTCAAAGACAGTAACCCTCAGTAACATATTGCCATATTACAAGTTTCAATGAAAGGACAAATTCATGTAGAAGTAGCTACATGGAACAGATTTCCTTTAAACAGATCCTCAAAGGTGATGGAAACCCTGTTAGATCATTAGTTCTGCCAAAGAGGCTTCGCTTAGTGAAAAAAATGGATAAAAATGGAAGACACTGATACTTATGGTCTGATTTAGATGATGGTGGGACACTGAGAGAGACGCAGGGTGATAGCATAAACAAAAAAAAAAAAAATGGGGTAAATCATTCTGCTAACAAAGAGAAAAAAAAAGTTTACATGTTTCAAGTTTACCTTGAAGAAAATAACAAGGAATGAGAAGGTTTTGCTATAAAAACCATTCAGAAATCACATGGGTATTTTTACTCATTGAGGTGTTGCATACTTTAACAATACTAGAAAAAGAGATGCACCAAATTTCACTGGGTGAAAAGAAAATCCATGCCTATCAGACTGCTGAACCACTGAAAAACTGCATTATAAAATGCAAAAACCACTCTGAAAGTACAGGAGGTGAAAATAGAAGCATAACAGTATGCATCTATTTGGTTGAATTAAGATCCAGTTTGTGCTATGCATATCAAATTGTCTTTTGAAAAATGGTACTTTTATTTACAAGCAACAGATTAGACAAGGGAACTTACCACCTTCTAAAGAAAGGGACAAAGACTTCTCCATCTTTCACTGCCTTCTTTTTATTTTAGTTAAAAGTAGCGCTGCTCTGTCAGAATGCAACCAGTGCACCAAAGAGACCCCAGGGAAGCATAACTAAACTTAGGCACATGCTCTGAATCCATTCTCCATTATTTATGGAAGGAACCCAGGGATGCTAGCATAGTCAGACTCATCTATTACTTTCCCCCTGAGGAAAGTCCCGGTCTTCCAAACTACACAGTAAACCAGAAAGCTTCAACAAAATTGAGTTTATGTAGGAACATGCTTATTCCATTTTCTTCAGGTGTTACCATACCATACAAGATAGAAAATTTTATGAAAATCCAGTGTTTCCATTTTGGAAGACTTAGGATGTACACTTCAGAGAATTAAACTGACCTTTTCAAAACATTCATTAGTAGTACACGGGTAGTTTAACTTCAAACAGGATTAATACATGGGAAGATTCCTTATGTAATTTTTAAATACGTGATACAGAATGAATTCTATTACTTAAATCCACTATTCTTGATGCACCCCGGCATAACTGGAGGCAGAATCAGTTTGTGAACCAGAGAGGACTGAGCACGTGAACACGATCTAAAAAGACAAAATTTACTTTAAAAAGAAAAAGTAATTTTCTGTTATTCCATCACAAATATGCATGTTTATGCACTTCAAATACAACAAAGTTTACCCAAAAGTGCAAAACCTCAATTTAAATTAAAACAATATTTAAACTCCAAAGGGAGTATACTAAACAAAATTTCAAGAAACACTACTGATAGTGTAAATATGAATGATTACCTCTTCAGTCACACTCATCATCCCATGGAGTCAGGGATCATACTCCCACCAATATAGCTGTGAGTTTAATTAGCTTAGAATCATGCGCCCCAACAATCTTGCGCAAATTTTACCACTTGTGGTAGAAATACAAATATTGCTGATCAGTGACTCCTTAGTGAAGACTCAAACACAAACTTACATTTTGTCACATTTATGTTACAGCTGAACCAAAAAAACTACCCACAAAAGAATAAACATATTATGACAGGAGACCTAGGGCCAATTTCTAGCATAATATAGTCTTAAACATGCTGGGAATTTCCCACTAACTATTGTTTAGGCATGAAGGAAAACAGAAGGAACAATATATTTGATAGTTCATAAATAATGATTTCAGGTATTCTCTGAAATAATGGCTTCGGATACTTTTACAGTTCAGAGAACAAGTAAAGAAAGAAACCAGAGTGCTTATCACATGGAAATGTTAGCAGTTAATAAGTACCCATGTTTCCAAGTGATTAAATGTATCAGAATTAATGTCACACTGGCTTGCAGAATTGCTTATGTGTTTATTTCCAATTATGTTGCTTAACAGCCACCAGAAAAGCAGCTCCACTTGTTACCTATCTACTGCAGAGGTGCCTAATAGCTCACAGTAAACTTGCCCATCCACCACAAGGAGACCATGTCAAATTAATGCAAATTCTTAAGGACATAAAGAAAACAACAGATATTTGACAACAGCTTAGTTTTTCAATTGCTCCTTACAAAAATATCCAGCTAAATTCCTGTTGTAAGATAAACAAATGCCTTCACTTAGTCCTATAATGTGTGAAGAACACCAACCCACTCTGGCCATTATCTACCTTAATACTAAAACTTGTCTATGCATATTTAGACAGCACACCTTCTCTTTGTAAGATGTTCATTAGTTTGTTTTAAGATAGCCAACCAAACAAGATGCTTCTTAGTGCTCAGTTCCCTTACCCTCAATTATTACAAATAGCATGAGCAGTGTTTGTGTACATGTACCTAGAAAACATAAAGAAATAAAAAAATAAAATCTACTTAATCTCATTATCAAATGCATTAGGATTTTCTCTTTTTTTTTTCTTTTCTATATTTTAATATTCTTTTAACTAGGCATAGAGAACCATACTGCCAATCAGCCATTACTGACAATAGATATTTCATATTAAAATGGCTGGGCTTTCTAGTAAAAGTCTAACATCTCACTATCTTTCTCCATACCCTGTAATCAGGTGAAAAAAATATCAATAATTTATTATTCTTGACAGAACACTATGGCTTTGACTTTAAGGTCACTATGCTCCTGCATCTTGTGTAGGAGAATAAGCTGTGCACACTTTAAGAGGGTGTATACAAAATAAAGGCACAAAGCAGCAAAGCAGAAGTAATAGATCTTGATTTTAATAAACCCTTTAATGCTACCTCCAAAAACATTACCTCGGAAATTAATTCAAATTTGTCTGCATGTAATCACTGCAATGTGGACTGAAAGCTGGCTGAAACAATGAAGAAAGCATTAATTTAGCAATACAGCTGAACAAGGAATCTGTGACAGCCAGCCTGGGAAAATTACAGATTCACTGAAAGAAAAAAAGCTAGGTATTTGTTTATTCCAGGACCTGACGCAGCTCCCTGCCATCCTATTAGGTAGAAGATTAGAAAGGGAACAGATTAATGTGTCTAGTTAGATGATTATAAAACTCAATTAACAGTCCCCCAGAGAATAACAATTAAGGCATTATGAATGTATGCTTTAATTGATACTTTCCTTCCATATACTAAGAAAGAAGAAACAGACCACATAGTGAAATTGGTTACTAAAGCTCTTTGTTGCTAGTCTACAATTTACTTAAAACTGAATACAATTTATTTTAGAACAATGCAGGTTCATTTCACTACTTTGACATCAGGGTCAGAAAATGGAACTGCTGCCAGTGAAATATAATATTCTCTAGCTATGTGGCTGCCACTCAGTAGTAACATTTAGTAGCAGATTAAGTGTACTTCTCCCACCAGTGGGTTTAATTAATGTAGTAAGAATCCTTAGAATCTTATAGTTAACATCCTGTAAAATCTTAGTCTTTTTCACCTTGATTAAGCAATATTGGAAGTCTGTATTTAGTAACCGAAGGATAGCATTAAGAAACTAAGTAGCAGGAATGAAAGAACAAAAGTGTATCTGTGTAAGTTCCGAATGGCCAAAATCAGAAAATGCACAAAAAATCTTAAATAGACTATAAATATAATATTTAAAATACTAACAATTCTTACTCATTTAAAATGCTCAAGAATGTATTTAACTATGATTTTTTTTTTCCCATGAACTGGAAATTTGTTTATGGACACTTATGCCCTGGGGAAGATTAGCCAGTAGTACCCCACATATGAATCAGTGTGTTCATCAGCATAGCAAGTCATGGGTAGGAAATATTCCACACGTGATACAATAAAGGAAGTATAAGAAATGGCAGAAGAGGAAAAGAAAGATGACAGTAACAGAAGAAAGATCATTATGGCCTAATTTGAGATTTTTTGGTGTTTTGCATTTTATATCTTTGTTTCCTCATCTTCTGGCCTCCGTTTGGGCAGAGACATCTTTTATAGATGAGGGCGCTCAAACCTCACAAGACAGCCTTACAAGTTGTCCTCAGCCTTAAAAGACAGGCATCTGCCACCTCCTCCTTTCCCAAGTCTCACTCTTATCACATATTTTCCACAGCCCACTCTGGATCCCTGCCTCCCCAGCTTTCTCCTCTTCCAAACCTGGGCAAACAATGTTTCAGGTTCTACCCTCATAGCAATACTGTTTTCCTCCTGCACTGCTACCCCAGGTCTAGACCACAACTTCTCTCTGAGAAGGATCCAAAGGTTACATTATTTTGCTTTTTGTCCCTCTTCCCCCAGTCCAGTGCCACCAACACTTGTCAGCTCCATTTGCTTTACTGAGAGGCAGCACTGACTGCCCAAGGTGCAAGAAGGAGGGAGAGACAGTAACTCCAATTAGACTGATGGCTCTCATTATCTCCAGCACTGTGACAGATGCAGTTTCAAGATGACTCAAAGGAGAGGCAGCGCTGAAGATCTAGGGAGGCTGAGGGATGCAACACAGAACACAGTATATGACACAGCATTGCCTCTCCTCCCTCTCATCCTGCTGGCTGTTCCCTGCAGCACTATCGCTTACAGAAAATGAAGTACCAACATCCGCTCACTGTTTGGGAACTACTGATTCACATCACCAATAACCATATAGAATGTAAGGCTAACATGATGGCCATGTGTGCAGAATCCTCCAACTCCATATATCAACAGGCACTGAAAGCATAGAGCTGTGCAATCGAAATATCAGTCTGAAAACTATGTACACATTTAAACTTATGAACAGGATAATGAAGTTATGCACAGTATATAATGCCAGCTCTTCCTTCCAAAATGAAAAACAAGACAGAAAATAGAGAGTGAGATAGAGACGTTTGATGCACTAGAATAAATTATGTTAGGAAGAAGTTATATTAGGAAGAAAATGTCCTCTCTTATTCATTCCCTTTGAGTACATATTATTTCCGTTATCTTTATATAGCTAATTTCTCATAGTCTTAGCCATGTATTTTCAAGCTTTGTGGTGATCCAAAGCTTTATATATCTAAAGTTCTTATGAAAAACATAAAAGAAATACAGGGTTGGATTATCTTAAAGTCCTTTCCAACCCTAAGTATTCTATGATTATGTTCATCATTCTTGCACGTTAGCATGGCAAAACTTGCCTTGTGACTACCTAATACTAAACCATTTATTCCCTGTGGGTTTTCAAAGGCATAGTGCTCAATTTTGGTCTACTTCACATAAAAAAAGCAAATCTATTGCAGCAAGAGCTAAAGGTTGAGATCCCAAAGATGAAATTTGCCAATACCTAGTATGCAACCACTACCAGGCCCTCTTTGGTAGAACACAGTACGTGTTGACACATACTCAGAGCAATTATGGAGAGCACAACAGGAAAGTGAAGGGGATAGTACTGATTCTTGATTTTAGTGTCAATCTCAATTTGCTTCTTTATGTTTTTCCTAAATCAAACTTTCTGATCCAAAATTATTAATAAACACAAACTAAAGACACAATTCCTGCCCTTGCAAGAAAATGACTATAAGGACACAGAGTGGGAGAGATTCCTACAGAAAGGTATTTTTCTTTCAGGATTTCCAGACTCATTAAATAAGAATTATGCAGAGTTGTAAAACATCAGGTAATTCTTCCAAAAACAACATTTAATGTGATTCTTTCCTTTACAGTATGAAAGCAAAGTGGTTTAAACTCCACAAATTGAAGGTAGCGTTCTTGACTGCTCATTTTTCTGAATCAGATTTGAAAAGCAGCTCACCTCCCAGGACCATACCAGCTTGACAGCACTTCCTCAAGCGACATGCTGGACAGTTCTTCCTGCGAATTTTATCAACTATGCAGTCATTTCTTCCAGCACATAAATAGTTGTGCTGCCCTGTAGGCAAGAGAAAAGCAGGATTAATACTGTCTTCTAAAATGACAAAATTACTACTATGAATAGATGCTCCAAAAATTAGAGGATTCAAAGATTACTTGAATCATTAAAGGTCTCCTTCATTTTACACTTTCAAACAATCATGCGTTACTATTTAAATAATTTAAATTTATCTGGCCTGTTTCAGAGTGAAACTCTCCACCGATGAAATTCCCAAACAATTAGCAGACAGAATGAACTGCTTAAGTTATGTACTATTGATATTGATATTCAAGCATGAGAACACACCATTTCATTCAAACCTATTTTTGTTTTAAGCTATTGTTCCTGATTTTAAAGAATTTAAGTAAATTCGATGTGGAATTTCCAACCGAAAACTGAATGAGGAAGTTGGGGCACTGCAGAAAAGAGCCCTTTAAGCAGAGTAAATCACCTCTGATGGAGAAGCAGTTTTGTACTAGACCTACTGAAATACCAACTAAACAGATGCATCCAACAGAACCATAAAGGACTAGTAGAAGAAGGCTGTAACTTTTTGGTTTTGGTTAGATCTTATTGTTTAATTTGAAGGTCTCAGTTCAGAAAAGCCTGTCATTACTCTATTAGAATAGAATCTTTTTAATGCAATCAGTTTCCAGCAGAGCAAAAAAATAAATTCATCTGGTATTTTGGCATTCTTTTGGACAGAAACTTCAATGATACCTCCAAATTTCACTTGAAGACAATGACAAAAATGTATTCTTATGCTTTAGTATGATACTGATAATTTTTGTGACTTTAATTTTGAATAAGTAAACAAAGCTAAGCACATAAGTAGAGAAGAAATAAAAGCTAACTTTTACTTATGCTTTCAAATCAAGCCCAGGTTTACCCTGTAGGGTTTAACTTCAGCATCTGTTTATGCACATCATCCTCTGTGCATGTCTGTATTTTCAGTTTCTTACCAGTACCTAGCATGAAAGCATAAAAAAGAAAACCGAAGTATTTATTCTGAGAGCAACGAAATAATTCAAAAAAGTATGGACAAACTATGTAACGAAAAACTACCACAAAGTACCAATAGCGTGGATAATTCCCTCATGGAATATTATGGTTATGGACATCAAATGTAACATCAATACTAGACCCTTAAAATTTTCACTACTTTCGAGACCAGAATTACTCTTTTAGCCATCTGATGTCACCAGCAGCAAACAAATCTGAGGTGATTATTCTGTTTGGATGCTGTTATTCAGCTTTCTATAACCCTATTCTGTCCTTTCTCTGCACATGGTAAAATGAGTTACTGTTCACCGATAACTTTTCTCCACAGAAGACAAAACTGAAAATGAATCCCAAGATGAAAATGCAGGAGAAAGAACATTCTACTGTAATAAAAGAGCTACTGCTAAAGTACATGAAACAATGTGTTTTTTTCTTTGCCAGCATTTATTTTTTTATAATTAATATACTCCTTACCCATATTTTTAAGAGCAACTTAAAACAGCTGCCTCATGCATTGCCTGGCATTTAAAAAGTATTTAGCAATGCAGTAAATAAGAAGAAATTATCATTTCATTTCTCCCATTAATTCTAATCCTGAATTCCTTCTCACAGGAAAATTACCAAAAGTAACCAAATGAATAAAAATCTGTCCTGCTTCAAGCAGCAGACCAGAAATCAAAACACTTATTTTGAACATGTCTTCCTCAGGATTATTTGCAGTTTTCCCTCAACTTGCTTTGCCTTCATTAGCTACAAAAGCATTCAGTCTTTTGATAAGCAACAACAGTTTAAAAACCCTGCTAGTTTAACTAAAATCTATGAAGCATCAGATTATCCCTGCACTGTAGTGTTCTGATGCTTTAATGTAGTTAATTTACAAAGGAATGCTTAAGCACAGGTTAAGTTTTGTTTGTGGGTGTCTTGGTTTTGGGGGTTTTCTTTGGTCCCCTGAAAGGCTTCTCTTCTGGACCTCTTTTCTAGGGAATCTTTTGAGTCTATACAATATTCTCTGAGTCCATAAACGCCATGTCCACTACAAGACCAAAAACTGGACTACATATTTCCAGTATGGCAGTAAATGCTCACAAGCAGGTCACAGTGCTACAGGCATTGTAGCATTGTAGCACTGTAGCATACAAGGTGCATATTTTCCCCTATAATGACTCTGAAAAATGCTGATCTACAAAAGCCAGTGCCACATTGTGAAATATGTCTCTTTAAGCACTCAAGAGAACACTGTTTATAGCTCTAGAATGATGTCAGTATTTAAAATATACTCTTGTTATCAGGATGTGGTTTGCGTACACAACACCCAAGCGTGTGCTCTAACTGCTAAAGGAGGCTAAGGACTTCGGGTAGAGGCAGTAAGGGCGACACTGTTCCTGCTGCAACAGGAAATTATTTGGAAAAACAGAAGTTAGTGGCTTGATTTATACTGATACACATTTAAATAGCCTGCATTATTTCTCAAATTGTAAAATTTTAAATTTAGAGTTACACATTTCAGTCTAGCCACAGCTCTTAAAAACTTTGTAACTTGGGGTTATCAGTAGATCCAGCTTCCACTTCAACTGAAAATGCATGACTTACTTCACCATTATGTAACAGCTCAAACTGCTTGTTATAAATCCAAGAATGAACACTTGAAAAACAAATTGTAAGTGAATCACAATTACGAAAACTACTCTTCAATGTTTGTATGTTCTAGACTTTAAAATTAGACAGGATTAAATAATCTCTCTGTTGAATACATACCATGGAAGAAATGAAGTCTGTTACTGGAATTTAGACACAGTAAGAATTTGCTTTGATCTTCAGAAGGTATTATTTTGTAACTATTTCATAATTGTACTTACAAATGTAATTATGACCAGTGACCTAATCTTTTTCTGTCTTCACCTAGTTTATTTCTTCCATAAAGCTTTCATGATACTAGAATGAAAAAAAATCCAAAATCCTAACCACCCAATCCCTCCATGACATTATGGTGTCAACTGATAACATCTCAGTCACTTTAAGTGGTTGATGCTTACTGTCAGCCACTTCCTTGTCTTCAAGACTCTACACAAGCCAATCACATCCTACACTTGAATTATACCTTCATATGAGTTTTCCACTCTTCTTGCTTCTACCCAATACCCAACACCTGCCATCCCAAAGGGTATTCCATTCATTCTGATTCAGCTGCAGCTTATGTGGAAAACAAAGGTTCATTTTTATATATATATACACACATTATTTTTCACAGTTTCATCTGTCAAGGACTTTCCCTATTATGTCATTCATCTGATCAGATCTCATATCTATAGATTAATCTGTGAACGTTTACTTCTGAAAACATTTTCTACCATTATGCAGAGTTCTGAGAAACTGCTACTTGCTTGATGTTGTGGCAGCAACTACCTGAAAGACATTTGGTATAAGAAATGGAAAACATGCCAGATATTTGGTTAATTTCAGAATTACAGACAATATTTAGTTAGATTAAGCTTTTTGCAATGTTTTCATGGGATACTAAAACATTCAGTTGAAAATACTCTTGCTGTATCTCAGTCCTTATGATCATCTATATGTTAACTGGCTTCAACATGTGAGCATTATGGTTACATTAAATGCACGTACTAATAAAGTACCCAAAAATTCTCATCAAGATAAAATTCCTGTTCAACTGGTAGCTAATCATTCAGTATCCTATTATAACCAGGAAAAAAAAAAACAACAACCAAAACCAAACCAAACCAAACCAAACCAAACAAACCAAAAAAAAGGTAGTAGTCTAATAACCAGGCCACAGGTCAGAAGGTGAAGATTGGTATTTGTGTTTCTTAAAAAAATATGAATCTAGCAACTTTCTGCAACTGCCAGTTTCTCATAAGAATTTGCCCAATGCTATGTTTCCTATATCCTTACTTTTCACCTCTTTTTGAAAGTGCACATAGTAGCTCTCTCTCAAAATATCAACATATCAGCTTGAGACCCGGATTTGATTGAGAACATGGAGAAAATACAGAGGTGATCTCATATGTTAGATTCTTGTAGGACAGATTTTTTTCTCAATCTCTATCAAAGTCCATTTGTGTTAGCAAAGGTGGCAGCTCTAACTCAAACAGGCAAATACAGTTTTAAGTGCTGTAATGACTAATGGCAATTTTGAATGAGAAAGTGGTCAAAATGCCAATGGTCCACACACACAAACATGATCATATGTTTTGCTGCTCAGACCATACTCCAGCACAGAGGCATTTTAATCCAAATACTGCTGGAAGCATCACTTCCAGGGGTCTTCAAAAATTACATTATTATCTGAGTGACATGCTGTAAGTCACTTAAAATAATTCAAATAAACTAATGAGTTGCAGAGATTTTGCAGATATGCAAAATATGGAAACCATAACGTTTTATCTCCACTGGGGGTATAAGATGCAAGGGATTAGTTATTTGTGTAAGTGCATATATGCTGAACTGCTGCCAGTCTGGACAGAAGCAAAGCATGGAAAATCATAGAAACATAGAATGTTTCAGACTGAAAAGGACCTGAAAATCATCTAGTTCCACACACTTCCCTCATACCACTTGTTTGCAAACTCTCAGTTCCTCCTGTCTGTAAATACAAGTACTTTTGCCAATCTTTTTTTCTCTCCCCATATATGATTCCACCTCCCTGTAGCACTCAAAGCTGGCAACAGTTCTGTATAAAATCATCCTATCCCCACCATTGGTGGACTGTTCTTTGCAAAACATATCACAGTATATTTAGTTTAGTTTTAGACTTCTGCCTAAAACCAGCAGATATCCATTGCATCTCTTTGCAAATTATTTGATTGCCAAACCTCTCTCTTACTTTTTTTGCTTCGTGCTAGCTTCCAGTTTTTGCTGTTTTACTACCAACATGCCTTATATCTTACTTTTCAAAAGTACCAATAAAATCAATAGGTTTAAACCAAACCAAATAAAAACAAAACAAAAAAAATACCCGAAGGAATGACTCTTCTGACGTAACTAAATTTGGAATTCCT